CCCCAAAACCCCAAAACCCCAAAACCCCAAAACCCCAAAACCCCAAAACCCCTCTCAACAAGGAATTATTGAGTATAAAAATTAGTTATGGATGAGACAGCATGTACTTATTCCTTGGGGATTTCTGCGCCTGGGGCCTCCTGGCGCTCTTGACCACCTTCCTGCTCCAAAGCTTGGTCTGAAGAGTTCGAATCTTGTGTATCGTTGAGACTAGGAGAGAAATTTTGAGAAGAGGCTTCCTCAACTTTCTCTTCTTCTTCATCAGGTTGGGACAAGGCTTTTTGGATCTCCTCCCTTTTGAACAGATTAGTCATTCTATTGAGGAAATCTTCATAGCATTTGTTGTCAAGTGCAGAATAGTATTCAATCGCCTTTTGGTAAGAGTCCATGAGATTTTTCACAGTTTTGTTGTTGATCAGTTCATCAACTGCTTTCTCAGCTTCCTCAACATGTTGCAAAAGCATGCTTTCGTTAGTTTTCTTGATAGCCTTGTCATTAACCTCTGATGCTAAAATTTTACGCTTTTTCATGTATTTCTTTTGCACAGAAACTTCTAGTAGCTTTAGATATTTAACAATGAGATTTATTCACTCAACATAGTTTGGAATTTCAACTTTGAGAACCCATTGATCCTTCTGATTCTCCATTTTTCTCCAAATAAAAGTTACGTAATCTGGCATATCTAGGTTTCTGACAATTTTTTCTAGTGATCATAGAGTAGCGACTGTCAGAAGTGTAGCCATAGTCTTTTGTTTTCTGTCAGGCTCGAAGAGAAAGAAAGAGTTTTCATACACTGCGATATAACGATCGTGGTATTGGAATCCATCAAGCGTCTCTGTTTCCTCTCTTACCTTGAAACAGCCGACTCCCCACTCTTTGATAGGGTATGATTGACCAAGATGCCATTTTCCAATAGACTTGATCTCATCATCTTGGTGCATTTTGAGGAGCAGATCGGCAACAAACTGAGGAATGAGCTGTATTGTTTCATAAATAGTCATTGTATTGCTCCATTCCTTATGAATGATCTCCTCCAGGACATCCCTCTTATCATCAATTGTGGGGTACCCAATCTTTGTCTTACAGTACACTTGAGGAGCTTGCAAAGGGAATCTTTGGGTAAGTAATATTTCAAAGTATAACTTCTCAATATCAGGGTTGAGCAGTTCGGATTTTATCAGAGAGGACTGAATTTCAATCCTTACTACCACTCCATAAGTCTTCTCTATTTTCCCAAAGAGCATCTCTGGAGGAAGCTTTTTGAGTAGCCTTACTTCCTTAGCGATACGCTTGTTTTGGATCTTGACACTATTCGCTTCCATTTAAGATTATTTATATTATAATTCTATTTCTTCAGAACTATTAGGGGTTTTGGGGTTTTGGGGTTTTGGGGTTTTGGGG